ACAGCCAATGAGCCAAAGCCTAGATGGACGGTCCCTAGAAGGGAGGCGAGATAAGCAGCGTTTCTGTAAATTCCTCTGACGGCAATGATGTGAGCTATATGATACGTTTCTACCCACCCTCCTATTCTCCTATACTTTCTCAAAACACTGGCGGCCGCGGTTGCGCGCGTTATCGCGGACGGGACGTAGCCTACGAAATCTGGGCGTAGCCTACATCGCTCAACAAAAAAATCCTGTCCTAAAATTTCGGGCAATGTAAAGGACTTTACAATCAACCCAATACGTTAGTGCTCAATTCCGATCACAACATACAAATAGCAAAAGACAAAACAAGCCATCTGGTTCAGAATAATTTTCAAAGAGAACAGATAAGAATAAAGTCGGAGTAAAATTAGTATGAGCTCACCAGCTTTCTCGACCCTTCTCTTTAGCCTCTCGTTCATATTTTTCCAATGTTCGCTTATCAACCATACCGGTAAGATACATAAGTTGTCCTAAAGAAATAAACAGCAGTGACAATTTCGGGCTACAGCACTCATTAGAGCGCGTTCCTAATTCGCGATCCGACCGCGCTATCCAAGCAATAGGATCGCAAAATGAACGCGCTGTTAGGAGCTAACAGACGTAAAAGGCATTTTCTCGAAAATATCAGGCAAAGTAATTTTTTCACCTCCAATGGTAGATTTTCCAGCATCAACATGACCGATGAATACCATGTTCACGTGTTCCTTGTGGGTTCCATCTGAAAAAAGAAACATCAAGACAAAAAAATAACCAAGAAGTTCAGTGTTCAACTATTAGGTTGGTGCATAACAACTAGAAAGACAAAAAAAATGTTCTTGGCCACGTGCTTTGAGCCTCCATGTTTCGTTTGCATGGATGTTGGTATATCGCCATCACGTATGCGTGACGTGTGTATTATGCTCTTTTATCACACTAGCTATCACTCACCCACCTTGCATTTGCAGGCCACAATGTCGCACAATTTCCACTGTGACAAAATGTACCTGCGCCACTGCCTGGTTTTACTTCACGATTCACAAAAGAAGTTCCACTTTCTCAACTCGATGATCACTGGAGATGAGAAGTGGGTCCTCTACGATAACCCTGTGAGGAAGCGGCAGTGGGTCGACAAAGGAGAACAGCCAGAAGCCACAAAGGCCGACCTTCACCCCAAAAAGGTTCTCCTGTCCTGTTGGTGGTCCAGAAGAGGCATGGAGTACTGGGAGCTGCTGGAGAAGGGACAGACGATTTTTCGCTTCCACATATGTTACCCAGCTGCGCAAATTGAAAGTTCACGTCGACCTTACTCGTGGATCGAATGCGGAAATCTGCTTCCACCATGACAACGCCCGACCTCACACCGCAAAGGCGACCCAGGCCGAGCTGGAGAAGTACGGATGGCTGATGGTCGCCCAGCCCCCTACAGCCCTGACATCGCTCCTTCTGACTACTGGCTGTTCCTGCCACCTGCCCCAGCGCTCTCTGGACGGAAATAAGTTCGAAACAAAGGATCAGGTCAGAAAGGCACTCGACGACTTCTTCAAGTCCCAGCCCCGTCGTTCTGGAAAGAAAGACGTCGACAACCTGCCTACGTGGCATCGAGTAGTAGGATTCGGTGATGGCGTGCACATTGAACTCTAATCTTAGGTTGATTTCGCTTTCGAGATTTGTGACTTATGCACCAACCTAATATGAGCATGACTAACCATCGACGTAAGCAACTCGTTCAAACTTCTTGGCCAACGGAGCGACCACATCGCTTGCTTCAGATGCTTCCTTCTCGTCTCCACCTGCCACTTCCTCAGCTTTCTCAGGACTTTCGGCAACCTAAAGAACCACCTTTAAACAACTCAAAAGCAACATAGATCCTTTTTAGAGCGCTAATGTCTCGGGCGAAAGACAACAACGAACCTTTAAAGTGTCCTCCGGCACTGGTTCCGGGGGAGGAGGAGCACTTGCCTCGACAGCCGCGGCTTCATTTTCAGCAATTTCGGCATCCCAATCTGTAAAACGCTAGAGGTAAACCCAAAAATTACCTAACGCCTTGTCTACGTTTTCAACCTGGGCGGAGCGATCCAGTATTTGACCTCCGGTCCGCGCGTGTGGTAAGGCTGCGTTCATACTTTGCGTCAGTGCTTCGACTGTAGCGCCAGCGCCAAGGAAAGTATGGATACCAATCCAGCGGACGGCAGCAGCGCTCTCGCGGACAGTTTTGCTCAAGCTCAAATTGCTCGCGAAAACGTTGGCGTACTCTAAATCGATATCTATTCTTTTTCAGTCGCTGACGCACGCTCCAAACGCCGCCGTACGCTGACGCAAAGTATGAACGCAGTCGAAGCGTATCACTTGCCACTCACTACACCACTTCCAGCTCATGCGTAGTGGCAAGTGTTTCACATTAGATTTCAAAATACAAAGAATAATAGACTAGTTGCAACCTTCTACTGGCTCAGCTTGTGGCGCAGGCGGTACGTTTTCTGTAGCTGGAACATATGGTTGACCTGGCACAAATGGTCGGGCATTCACATTTGGTACAAAAGCAGCCGCATTTACGTTCCATCCGCCGCCCGACATTTTCCGGAGAAAAACGGCCCACTGGAAATTCCCACCTGAAAACACACAGGGTTTTTCAAAAAAGTAAATATAAAAGGAAAATGGTAAAGTATAGAAAAGGAAGGCGGTGTAAAAGGAATGGTAGTAGAGATGACGCTGAGAAACATGGGCGAGAATACAAATCGGCAGTTAATGACTGTTGAAATTAATCGAAGAGCACATGTGGAAGAGCTGAACAAATTAATTCATGTTTGGAATGATGAATTGCCACTACTGGATCAAGGTCCTAAAACGGTTTGTATGAGTAGTGAGGGAATCACAGCTAAAACCTGTGGCTCAAAAGCGCCCAATAAGGATGTCACCAGTCGCGAAAGGTCTATGCCCCGCCCACTGCCCCAAACCACACCCAACAATCATTTTGGCTATTTGATGGTGCAGCCATCTAACTCTCTCTCCGTTTCTAATAGCGTGAATGAGTTAGACGGGGAAGAGCTGATATCGCTCAGATAACAACAAGTGGAAACTCGTCCAAGTACACCACTTCCTCGCCTGGAGGCATGCCCCGCACTCACTCAATGTTCAATCGCTTTTTTCTGGACATGGTAGTCCTGCCTCCAAGCATGACGAATGTACTACTCTCGCTGCTCAAACATGCTTGAGGGAAGAGCGACCCGATCGCGTCGAAGGCAGTGCTCCACCCACTGCCCCAAACCATACCCAATGCTCATTTTTGACGCATACCTGATGGTGCAGCCGTTGCTTTTAACATTTTCCATTTCTAATAGCGAGAATGAAGTTATAAAAACAAGAACATATACAGCGACGCCGGAGAACTCGTCGAAGCACGCCCTTTCGCCGCCCTATGCT